AGGCCACGCCCCCCAAAAACAAACTGCACCCCCCCCACTCAAAACAAGGCCCCTGGTCACCCACCTTCATTCTGCTCGAACTCATCCAGCACCTTGTCCAGGTTGAAGGCTTCTGCCTGGAAGTAATTCTCCATGGGTCAGGAACCGCCACCCTGCCGAGTGCTGTCCGGACCTGGGGAAGTCGAGGGGAGGGGGTTCCTTTAGAGCAGCACCTCCAGCCTGCTCTGCGCACCTCCTAAAGCAGACTGACCAAATGCCAGCTGTCACAGCTGGGGGAAGGCACAACAACTAACAGGGCATCCATCTGGGTTCACAGCCCAGAGACCAGGAGCTCAAATTGGCCCCCACTGCCCTGGGGTCCAGACTGCACCCCCCCCACCCCACTGCACCAGGACATTAGGCTGGCATATCGCCACCCCAGGGCATCGGACTGGCATATGACCGCCCCAGGGAATCAGACTGGCAGCACGCTGCCCCCCCATGGCAGCTGCCTGCCCTAAGGGCTCCGCACCCCAACATCACTGACCATCAAACTGCTTCAAGTCATCACTGCCAGCTCTTAAAAGGTAACATTTACATTAATGTGAAGCACTTTCTAACACCAACTGCAAACCCCTACTTTCCAGTGAAAAAAAGTCCAGAAGTCACCAGAAAGTTCTGGATGAAGCAGGTCAACTGCAGGATCGTGCAGAGACGTTGTGTCAGGCATGTCCTGAGGAGCCCCACAAAGGGCAAGGATGCGGCCGCTGTGGGCGGCACCACGATGCCACACGCCAGCGGGACTGAGCTGGGATCGGTGCCCACGGTCTGGGGGGGGGGGGGGGGCAGCCTCTGCCATGAGCGGGTGGGACAAGCAAGGCCAGAAATGACGCAGCCTTGGACAACTTGCATAACGCATAAAAGCAGGGTCAAAATGTGGGTGCCGAGGATAAACACAGGCACACTGAGGCGGCTTTCATTAGCTAAACAAACCGACAGCAGCGGCACGGAACAAAGCTCAAACTGCAACCTTACAAGACAAAAGAGGAGAGTGCAGAGGAGTGCAGCTGTCTAACTGCTGATTGGCTAAATGTTATGATTGGCAGTGCCCCTCACCTGTCGACAGGTCCTATTCAGCAGTCACAGGCAAATGCACGGGGGCTTCTCAAGGGGCAGTCGCTCCTTCCAGTCACATGAACGTGTGGTGCCGGTACCTGTGTCAGAAGACAAGATATGAGAGGAAGAGGAGGCGCAGGGCCCCAATGTGAGTGTGCACGCAGAACAGACTGCAGCAGGCCACACAGGCAGTGCGTGTGACTCTGCTGATGGAGACAGCTGGGGAAAAACTGCAGAGTCTGGCTACATGGTGAGGAAAATGAGAACAGAGGGGGAAGACAGCGGGACGCAGGATGGCACTGCCACCAGCAGGAGAACCGATGCATGACAGAGGTGTGCAGACCAAATCCCCCAACACCAGGGACACACAATAAGAGCCCCCCCCTCCCTCGCCGCCGCCGCCGCACATAGCCCAGCCGCCCTGCTCTGAACTCCCCAAAATTAGCCAGTCAGAGCCACAGTTTAGTCACAACATGCCCAGTTTTGTGGTACAGGGCGCGGTACCTCCCCGATCCTTAGGGGCACCTATAAACACCTAAGGTGTGTACAACTGATCCACCATTGTTCACATTGACTTCCAATGGCAAGAGGTGATTCTAGAACAATCTGCTCACCACGCACACAAAACTTTCTCATACAGCCAACACAAAAAATATTTTTTTTTCTAACCATGAGTAGACTTTGCTTCTTTGCAAGCACAGGTCACATTCACTGGATTTTGGCATGTTGCAGGCAAAACAGGCTTCTTGTCTGTTGACAGTCAGCCTCACTTAGTATTTTGCTCACATATACGAGTCAATGAATATCAAAAGCTCCTCTTTGCTTTGCTGGAAGTCAAGTGGGGGAAAAAAATGTTACTACCTTCCCCTTGGGAGCATAAATTAATAATGATGACCTTCAACATCCGAGGCAACGTGTAGGCCAGAGGACACTGAACACGCACTCAACACAGAGAGCAGAGAGAGACCCAGGGACCCTAACATACACTCGACACAGAGGGCAGGGAAAGGAACTGATGGCACCAAGCACACACTTAGCATGGAGAGCAAGAGAAACCCGAGGCCCCTAACACACACTCGACACGGAGAGCAGAGAGAGACCCGAGGCCCCTAACACACACTCGACACAGAGAGCAGAGAGAGACCCGAGGCCCCTAACACACACTCAACACAGAGAGCAGAGAGCGACCCAGGGACCCTAACACACACTCGACACAGAGGGCAGGGAAAGGGACTGATGGCACCAAGCACACACTCAGCATGGAGAGAAGAAAAACCCGAGGCCCCTAACAAACACTCAACGCAGAGGGCAGAGAGCGACCCAGGGACCCTAACACACACTCAACACAGAGCAGAGAGCGACCTGAGGCCCCTAACACACACTCGACAGAGAGGGCAGAGAGAGACAGAGGACACGTGCAGAACACACACAAAAACGTGTACAGTCTACTTTAGCTAGGACTAGGGTTGGGTATCGTTTGGGGTTTTTTCGATACCGGTGCCAAATCGATACTTTTAAAACGGTACCGGTGCCAAAACGGTGCCTGAACCGATACTTTACAAAAGCCACAAAATGATGGTGGATGACTCAAGAATACATTTTTATTGAACAAAAAATTGAATGCTTAAAATTGAACAATATATTAAAAGTTTCAAGTATACATGAATATATATGTAAATACAAAAAACAACAACAAAACATAAGCCACCTATGTAATGTTAATTTAACATTACGTTAGCCTACTGCTAACCTGCGGAAAGGTTGCTGTCGTCATCATAATCGGTGGACTCCTTTTGGCTACGGTTGGTATGACTGGGGCTGGGGTTATCCACACCGATCGTGCCAGCTGTTGCCCGCAAGCTGTCAAGCACGGTGCATCCCTCTGCTTTTAGGTTTATTCCGTGTGCCCTCAAATGTTTCATTAGATTTGACGTGTTTCCCCTTTACACGCAACTGCTGTAAAACATTTGCTGCATGCCGCGGTGTTGGAATCCTTTCTTGTGAAATATAGCCACACTTTTGACCGTTTAGTTTTAGGCATTTTAACAAAAGTTGTTTAATTTAGCAAGCTAAGATAGCGGTAGACCGCCTGCTGCCGTCAGAGCAAGTGTAACGTTAGTTGCTGCATTCACGCGCATCTCGGATGGTCTCATTTCCTGATGATGTCACGTGTGTGTTGATGAATCTTATGCTTATTACAACTGTGTCATCATAGCCCCAGAGAACAAATATTTCAATCGACAGTTCAGGCATCTAAGTGGCACCGGAATTCGCGTTTTGTTTCGGTCTGGTACATTATATAGGTACCGGTGCCGTATTGGCACCGGTTTTCGGTACCCAACCCTAGCTAGGACAGACATTTTCTGGTAATGACAGTTATGTTACTTTGCAAGGTGTGATTTTAATCAGTGGCTTCCATCAACCAAACGTGAGTGATGGAGCAGCTCTGTGCCATTTACTAACACAAACAGTACTCTCCCTCCCAGGCTGCTATAAATCCATGCATGAGTCCACAGGAAGCCAGTGCTGACCAGCTGGGCACAGTTAGGGTTCAGTGTGTAATTAAAGAACTTGATTACAGAGTACAAGTCAGTGCAAAGAAGGCAACGGCCACCAGATTGCAGCAGCGTCGAATTTGGCTCCCCGCGCTGAAATTCAACTAGCTGTCGCACATCACAGGCACTGACTCAGTGACCAAACCGGACCCTGAGTCACGCGCATTCAAGGACGTTCAGGGAAACCGTGCCACCACCCTGCACGATGAGCGGCCCCGGGGGAAGAGCCACGACTGCGAGGCTCAGTGCAGAAACCTGCTCTGCTCTCCGTCTCCCGATGGCCACGAGGCACCCCCTACACAAGGAGTCCTACAGATTCCCATCACTCAGGACAACGTGCTGAAGACCAAAGCTTCACATCCCAAACCTGTGTTATGAGACCTGCTGGCAAACCTCAGGCAGCACACAGAACACATCAAGACAGCTCAACCCATCCTCCCAAGGGAAAGCGACAGATATTAAGATTTAATTACTCTGTGCTTACCCTGAATTATACATTGCAGCACAAAATAATTGAAGGTGATGTATTTTTAGCAGCTCATCTCAGCGTAGCTATTTCTAGTGTCCACCCTAGTTTTTCACACGCCTTTTAACAAAACGCCTCCCAACAGACCCCTGACAGGGACACCGATGAGGAGCCACAGCCCGTCACATCGCTACTGCGTGTCTGCTGTGAGGATCACCAGGTCCAGGCGCAGCCGTTGTCTTTCCCCTTCCTATTCAGATGCTCATTCAGCTATAATTTATTAACAAGACCTGCGCTGTGCTCTGGCTCTGGAACTCTTGGACTGAACGAACGCTGACAAAAGCCCAATGTGGCACATCAATGGTGGGTCTCCTGGAAGACACGCAATGAGCATCCTCGGGGCAGAATCTCATTCTGCATGTGGTCCTTAAGCTGCTCACCAGGGTTAAATGCCACTCCTGGTAGACTTTGCATTCAAGATCTCACCTTTAATTGGATTTTTAGCCCAGCCGTGTGCAACACTGTGTGAAACAATCGTATTTGCTTTACTGCACAGACAGGAAATACCAGATTTCAGTTTCTCATATATATATATATATATATAAAAACATATTCACAACCACAACCAATGCACACGCAACTAGTCAGGAACTCGGCTGAAAGTACCTGTCTGAAATCTGACTCTATAAAACATGATGCTGAGAGTGACCTTAAAATGACACCTAGGCATAGATATCGTATTCTCCTGCCTAATGCATTTGCAGCGTCGTCATTCTAAGCCCACTGCTATGAGAAACACCCATGTTTGTAAGGGAACCCAGATAAGGGGCCAGATCGATGGTGATCCTTTGTTTTTTACTTGTGACCAACACACAATGAGCCCACATGCTGGCATGGGAACTAGTGCTGCAGTCTTAACAAGTGGTACACAACCAGAACCGTGTCACTAAATAACCAGTAACATAAGCAGGCAAAGGTTTCAAGCTACAAGCTAGGAATGAAGGAAGTGGGCTAATAAACAGCACATGATGCTGTGCTTGCTTACCCTCTGAAATGGCACTGCAGACTCTCCAGCAGGCCTTAGCGTCAACTAAGGAGACACACTTCCCCTTATTGTTCCGAATCCACCCCAGCCTCCCTGCCAAGGGAAATGGGATTTCCTTCACTTACGAATGACATTTTATCGCTCCTAGAAAGACGGCTACACGACCTCGTGGCTTCCCGGCATGGCAGCGAGCCCACAGAGCCTCTCGCTCGCCTTTCTGAGATGCTGACCCATCGCCTACTTCATTAGCTCTTATGCTGCAGGTCCAAACAGCAGATGGCCGACGGACAGATGATAAAAACAGAAACACGATTTTAACGTGCAAGGGCTGCCTGATGAGAGGCCCTCTGTTGGAGATCATTAATAAAGGGGAAAACAAAGCACTTGCGCTTCTATATGAAGCTGAGAGACACTGGGCACGAGCCCATGGCTGCTCTGTAGTGCTCTGACCAGGAAGTAATGTGAATGGACAAGTAAAAAGCAGGACATAAGATACAGCAAGAGGGAACAAGTAGGCCTGGCTGCCGAGGTCACACATATTTAGCTGACAGCTCCCAAACATCTCAGGTATCTCCTCCCAGGGACTTTGGCAAGAAGGTTGAGCGAAGCGAAGGCTGGTCACCTGCCTCTCTACGGTTTGGCAACCTGGGGCCCCAGTCTTGAGACCATCACTTTCACTGCATGGGAGGTTAAAGTCTCGAAAGGTAAAAGGATACAGTGTACAGAAAATGCACTGTCTCACCTAGGCCCCTTTCAGAGCCGCACTTCCACCCCAAACTTGTCTAGACATTCTGCAGAGGGGCTGTGTATGATTCGGACATTTGCGTTCACAGTCATATCAGACATTAAATGGACTTTTCCCTGGTAGCTCCCTCGTACAAAGTCTCGGTAATTTCTTATTGACGCCCGAGTGTGAATGGAGGAGGGAGAATTCACCACGAGCAAGTGGGAGTGTTAGTGCGTTTCTATCATGCGAATGGCACAAAAAGAGAAGCATAAAAACATCCAAGAATGAAGAAGATGGTCACAAAGGTGACTCCAATGAACATGGCTAGCTGGAGAGACGACGCGATTTGGGGGCTTCTGTCAGAAGTCCTGTAAACAAAACACAGATGTCCACAACGTACTTTCTGAGTCGTGTCCTGCCTCCTGCACGCTCTACCCAAGCGCCACCCCTTGTCTAAAACAACTGGAGTATTTCTAGTAGGTGTGAACGCATCTGACACAGACAATATCCGTTTGTGGCTCATGTATAAAAGGGCAACTCCGGAAAATGTCCGGACCTGATTCTCCAGACATGCGTGAAAACAGCTCTCTTTTTAAGTGTTGCAAGACAGGTAAACAGATGGGAGCGAGTGGGCGGGGCAGGAATTTCAGAAGGTTCCAGACTCTCAGAATTCAATACGCTCTGAATCCAAATGCATGCTTAACTAGTATACTGAGCAAGTATGTGTACACAGGAACTACCACAGACAGTGGTTATTACATGAACTCCTCTGACTAGGGGAGAGTCCTAGCTAAGGTGGTCAGTGTGATCCTGAAAGAGGTACTTTATAATGAGAATAAAACTTATTTTTACGAAGCATAGTATAAAGAAATGGGAACCGGTGTTGATGAAACCAAGTATGAATGTGAACCACAGCAACTTTTCTGCTCTTCTACAAACACCACGCACACAACTGTTAGGTTCCAACAGGCACACTAGCATCTAATACGTGTCCACAATTAGTGCAGTCCAAGTGACAGAAAGCAGAAAACAGAGGAGAGCTGGGTCAAATGCTGGTCTTTAAAAATGGCATGGCATGCTTCATAGTTTCTTTAACTTTAACCTGGGAAATAAATGGTTTCCAGAAGAAAAGACAGGCAGAATAAACCAGGATCAAATTTAGCCCTCTGATAACGCGACAGACAGGAATAAAATAAGTGATTTATGAGACGTGAATTCAGTGAGGAACTTCAAACTTATACAATGGCACAAGACCAATGGTTCGGTAGCAACAGAGCCCACTCTACAAAAATTAATTAACTCTATGGGAAAACATTCAACACAAGATACCACTTAGTGAATCGTGTCTCGACCACAGACAACCAGGATTCCCTCTGACTCTAGTGTGCACCATCTTAATGGGATGTACAGGAAGAAAAACATATGTGGGTATGGGGGAGAGGGGGAGCAGAGGGTGGAGGGGGAGCAGAGGGGGAGCATAGGGGGAGCATAGAGAGAGCAGAAGGTGGAGGGGGAGCAGAGGGCTGGGGAAGCAGAGAGGGAACAGAGGGTGGAAGGGGAACAGAGAGGGAGAAGAGGGTGGAGGGTAGCAGAGAGGGGCCAGAGAAGGAGCAGATAGGGAGTACAATATGGGGGGAGCACAGAGAAGGAGCAGAGGATGGAAAGGGAGCAGAGAGGGGCCAGAGAAGGAGCAGTGGACTGAGAGGGAGCAGAGGACAGCGGGAGACTAGAGAGGGAGCAGAGGATGGAGGGAGACCAGAGAAGGAGAAGAGGATGGAGGGAGACCAGAGAAGGAGAAGAGGATGGAGGGAGACCAGAGAGGGAGCAGAGGATGGACCGAGACCTGCGGAGGACGGAGGGAGACCAGAGAGGGAGCAGAGGATGGACCGAGACCAGCGGACAGGATGTGGGAACCAGAGGCTCAGCCCTACGGCCACATCTCCGCGTCTGCCTCGCCTGAGGGAGCGAGTGAAACATGTGCCGCCTGGAATCTCAGGGAGCCAAAGCGGACTGCCCGATACCGAGCTCTCTACTGCCGAACCGGTACCCTTAACCGGCGTGGTCGTGAGATGTCGAGTCGTAATGCGGCTCCGGAGCCGCCCGCAAACGCCGCGCTGCATCTCCGGCCGTGGGACATCACTTGGGTGATGAGTATCCCCCATTTTGAAACGGCACCAAACTAACCGTAACTTACCGAGAACCTCGCGGCTGAACACCGGTGCGCCATGGTAATAATGACGAGAAATTCTTAACTAGAGACGAAAACAGCGAAGTCGTCCATGCGCGCTCACCCGAGGAACACTCATCTTCATCATGCGACTCCGGCACGGGCGTCCAGCGCTTCGCGGCGAGCCCTGCAGCGGGGCAGCCTTGGCGATAACGCTCACAGCTTCTTCACAGCCGCTCTTTTTCCCCCTTTCGATTCGTATCCAAGTCTCCTTGTTGTTAACTCCGATATCTCCGGGCTCCGGCAGAATGAAGCCGTTCAGTTGGAGTGAAGGCAACTGGCGTGTAGAAGGTTACGAATCCGTCGCCATCTTGGCTCTAAACGTAGCGGCTGAAGAGTCGCGCGCCACCCAACCTTGAGCCAAAATGGCGGCAATTTCGTAACCTCCTCGCTTTCGCGTTTTCTCCAGCCTCGCAGATTAATTAGCGCGCAGATTAGACGGCAAAGCAGACAGCGCCCCCTTGACTGGAGAAAATGTAAGTGTACCGCATCAGTTAAATCTATGATCCAATCGAAAAATCAAAAGTAGCTCAATAATGGGATACACAAGTCATATTAGAAATGCCAGCAGGACGTTATTGCAGTCAAGGGTAATGAGAGCCGGGGGAGGCTGCTGTACCCTTAACGAAGACAATTAAGCTCGTAATTTATCAGAATATTCATTTGTATACTTGGGCATGACAACAGTAAATCTGGATACAATAAACTGATCATGAAATATCATTTGACTGAACATAGCATAGCAGTAATAGTTTCATAAGCATTACCTTCTTGGAAAAAAAAAGAATCATCACAAGCAAATAAACATAAAACAAATGAAAAAAAATCCTCAAAGGTCACAGAAAACCTAGAACAGATAGGTAGCTCAATGAGCAGAGTCACCCATTCATGGTTGTGGTTCTCCACCTCAGGAATTCATATTCCTGTTTCCTTCTGGAGTACAAAACTGTGCAGTTAGCCGAATATGCGCCTATAGTGCGTGATCCCGTGGGTATATGTGTCTGGTAATGGACTGGCATCCCATCCAGGGTGAAGCCCAGCCCAGTGCCCTATGCTGCTTGCCATGGACTCCTCCTCATACTTTCATACACAGTCCCCATCCACAGACCACCATGATCAGCAGCATCATACATTGCCCATATATGTAGTTCCACTGTTGTTCCCAATCTATTCCACACACACACTGGAAACACTGCATTCAAACACTAACCCTTTCCCCTTTTGTTAAGGCGATGTTTTATTTATCATTACACATACAAAATCATATGTTTCAAACTTTACAGGGTAGAAAAACAACTTTAAAGTGATTACCCAAAAAACTATTGAAATCCCTCTGGGAAAAGCTAATTTTATAGCGAGCAAAGTAAAACAGCACCGTGTCAAAAGGTTAATCAATCCATTTTATTTTGTGATTTAGACAGAAAAAAGGGGAAAAGAAGAACTTAAATAAGACTCGCATTTTCTCTCACCACTGCAATCATAGACAGGACCAGCTATTTAAGGAACGTTTTTAACCAAAGGTCCAAGTGCCCAAATCATCCTTTCTGGAAGATGCCTGCACAGGCAACCTGTTAAAAAATACAAAACGAGTCTCTGGGATGATGGTTCTCATGAAGAGCTGTCAGGTTTCCTGTAGTTAAAACACTGGACAGAGATCTTGACTGCAGTACCCCCCAGAAGGGGAGATACGCCCTCGTCTCCAGGGAAAATTCAGTTTGCCTCATTCTTTGATGCCTCATCAAAGTTTTCAACAAGATCTGCAGGAGGGATGAAGGGCATTACACAGAGAAACACCCAGAATTAGCAGAAGTCACACTCCAGACCATAATGTGATAGCACTGTAAAGTACCACATGCTGCCATTTCTAGAAATAAGCAATGTTTCGTCAAAGCTAACTGTACAGAGGGGAACAAAGATTTTCAAGATTCTTACATAAACAAGGAATAGGAATATGTTGGAATTAAAAAAAGGTCCAAATGTACCTGGTACATCGTCATCCTCCTCCTCAATGTCCTCCGATTTGGGAGCTTTGTTCTCAAGAACTGCAAAGAAACAGAGTTTAGATCTGAGCCCTCAGATCTAGTCATTAGTAGAGACAGGCATTACCCAGAGATCATTTCTGCTTATGAAGAATATACACTGCAGACATATATAAAATTTGTGGCCACATTACAATAGTCAGAACGCTCATTATGCACGCATTATATCCTCCTTGTCCGGGACCCCTACAATGCGTCCACATTTCCATGCTACTGAAACAGGGAGCTCAGAAGGTCTCCTGAAGGTGGTGGGCTGGAATCCTCTGACAAGCAAAATAATTGCATTTTGCTGGACCATTGAGCATAGCTCTCAACCCCAAGCTTCCCTCACTTGTATGGCACTGAACAAAACCATCTCCTAAATAAATCCGACTTCTATGGTAAGTGGATCTGGGTGAGATCATGAATGGGCAGGCCAGGCCCTAAGCACCCACGTGACACCGGCAGACCCCCACCTTGCCGGGGGAACTGCTCTGCAAGCTTCCGCAGGCTGGTCAGGCTGTCGGAGCCCAGCTGGCTGAGGATCCCGGGCAGCATGTCAGTCAGCTGCTTGGTCTCGGCGTGGCCGGTGACGGCGAAGGTGTTGGCTGACAGCGAGGCCTGCACCTTGGGGTTGTTGAAGTGGATAACCGTCCCATCGTCCTTGATCATGTTCACCTGGACCAAACAAAGCCAGGTTGACAAGACGCTCTCCAATATCAGCACTCTGATGCTGATCATCCCCATTCCCCTTTATTAAACCTCAGAGGAAAATGCAAACAGGAAGTGGGGGGTCCACTAACCTCCTCAATGCCAGCTATGTTGTTCACAGCCAGTTTCTTTAGGGAACTCTGAAGCTTTTTGTCATCTGCGGTCGCTGTTCTGTGTACAACCTTCTTCTTTCTACGTGCTGTCCCCTAAGAACCAAAAACACATAGAAGTCAAAGAGCTGCTTGGAGCACATTCACCACCAGGCTGCTGGAAACAGTCAATGTCACAGACCAAAGCAAGGTACCAAGAAAAAAAGACAGCGCCACCCAGAGGGATCCAGAAGCCACTACTCATACAACTGCTGTCCCCCATGGGGTCCTGACACTTCTACATGAGCCAAAAAAGTGCCACACTACCAGAAACTAAATGATGCTGTAATTGTCAAGAGGGCTCCATCTGAAAGGCAGCTAACTGGACGCATGGTAACAATGCAGAGACAGGAACCTTCTGCACCTCATGGCGACTGCAATCTGTGACTCGCAAGCATCACTGACTGTGTCAACGCTCTCTCCATAAAAGGAGTGCTGATGTAGGGAAAAGCCCTTCGGGCTGCCTGACTGTCAGCAGCTGTTTTTCCACATCAAGTGCCTGAAGCAAAATACATTGAGGGGCTTCTCCTTAATCACAGGCAGGGATTAACACAGCCAAACCAGACAGTCTTCATTTACTCAACCAAACACATTATCCAGATGGGTAACATCTGGATTATATGAACCAAAGCAACATTGTTAACTAATTTTACAAAATTTAGTCTCATGAATATGATATTCTGTCACATGCCTTTTAGTAGTTATTAGTTTTAGAAATGTGTAGTAGTATTCCTTCAAATAGTTTTCTGAATGGAGGTATAGAAAGCTGACGCACCTTACCACCTATCCGGACCTGGGCTTGAAGTTTGGCGAGTTTCTCTTGATTCATGTTCACCTAAAACAGGACAACGGTAAACATCACTTGTAAACTCTCACTGCACAAAAACTGTTGCATCACGAATATGACACTAAACAAATCCTACTTCAATGCTAGAAAAGGTGGACTGAACCCCAATTGATTGTCTGTCAAACAAGTGGCCACACAAAGTCCACAAGGGCTCTGACTGCTACAGCCGTTGACCTGTCCACCACTGGCTCCCAGCTCCTTGCTAGTGGACGATGTGATCTACACCCCTACGGGTCGTTCGAAGCACATGGAGCTGCCTTCGTGCAGCACCCCACAGAGACATCACAGGCCTCGGCCACGCCAAGTCAAGCCAGCCTGGACAACAACCGTCCTGTGCGTGATGACCAGCAGACAAGGGCGACTTACTAAGTGGGGCAAATCTGGGTGCTGGCATGGGCAGCACGGAGTTAGCCATGGGGCACGTCCGGACACAAAACAACGCAAGCAAAGGGTGTCAGCGTGGGGGGAGCACGGCACGGCAGACTTGAAGTCCCGCTCCTGGGCAGTTTAGCCCAATATCACAAAGCAGTGCTCCTTCTGATAGTGCTAATTATTGTCTGAACCAGCGAGTAAGGGCGTGGAGCCCCGCACATCACGCGGCGCTATCATGGACGGCGTGAGCAAACTAACAGCAGCGCTGGGTAATCCAGCTACTAACCACCTGGAAATAAACGCATTAATGGAGCGCCGTCGTTTCCCAACGAGGCCTTCACGATCGCCCCAGGACTACGTCCCCATTCCCCTTTACCAGCAAAGGCGAAGCGAGCGGTCGAGCTCTTCTCCTCTTTTAGCTTCACCGCTCCGGACCAATAGCAGCAGCAGCAACACGCGGCGAGCTAGCAAAGATGGCGGAGCTGAGGAAGAACCTGCGTCATGGGCCACGTGATGGCAGCGGGAGCCACGATTGGCCCGAAAGAGCAAGAGGGGCTGGGCGGCTGGTTGAGGACGGCGCTCGGCGCTTTTATCTGAAGGGCCTTTTCAAAACCAATTTATGATTCTGGATGTTTTGTTGGTGACGTTCAAGTCCAGTTACACAGCTCGAGCGTGCTACAGCAGCGCCCCTGCTGAGACTGAACGGGGTAGATTGAAGAATGTGAAATATTGATATAGCAGTGGGGTTGAAAAAATATACATATTTCAGAGAGTGCAAGCTTATACTAGGATAAGGAGATAGATTTAGGAGAGTTAAGGAGTGCAATGAAGCAGAAGCATATGAATATTGCAAGGTTTACCTCTATAGCGCACACAGGAGGAGTAGTTTGCTGGTGTAAAGCACACTAAGAGGAAGATGGTGATATGAATGTGCCAGAGCTAGATGGTGTATATGATGGATTTAAATATATAAATAACTGTACATTTAAATCAAGAGTGTGCAACAGCGCAAAAGTTCACAGTATGAGGCATGGCATAGAATAGAATAGTTACTTTATTGTCATTCAGAGATACACGGGTTAGTGCACAACAGAACGAAATTGCGTTGCATTATTTTGCTCAACATCAGCCTGGCAGAGTGTGTAATAAATATATATAAAAAGATGTATATATAAATATATAAATGTAGCTATATAGTCACACAGCAGTGTAGCTATATAGACGTGCGAAATCACAGTACAGGGTGAGGGTTAAGAGTCAGTGAGTGTTCCTGGCCTTATTGCTGAGGCGGGCTGCGGTGGGGAAGAAACTGTCCCTATGGCGTGATGTTTTGGTCCTAATGGACTGATTTGACATAAAACAGCCAGGACTAAATTGAGCCTAATTATGAATCTTTATGAATAAGTTTTAGTTCGATCAACGCGATATTTCACTGCATTCATTCGGAAAGTCATGTGAACAGCTCTGTGACTGTGGACACCGCCCACTGTACCGCCTCTACACCAAATCAAACACATATAATGTAAACAGCGCTCTAGTCCGACAGGTATAATTATTTAATTTACATTTATTGCCTTAAACTACTTTAATTTATACTACTGTATTGTATTAATCAGGAGTTAGTATAAATAAACACACGCTAGAACGCAGTCTGTTACTACCAATAATAAAAACAATTGACTACTTGGTTACTATTTAAAAAGCTACCATCTGGCAACCCTTTATGACCCGCGGCCCGCCTCCTTTGACGTCACGTCCGGGTGGAAAGATCCTGGAAGCAATGTAAAATTTCAGTAGGTGAGAGGTGGGAGCTCAGACTGCAGAGATTGATAAAGATCGCCATGCAGAAGCTGGTCATTAATTTCGCCCTGTTGTCCTTCGTTGGGTTTCTCAGCGTAACCTGTGCCCAGGATGCCACTGCTGAAGGGAATGGGCGAGGTAAGGGACAGCCCTCGCGGTAATTCCGTTGGTATCTGACATTATCATCATACAAAGTGGGTGAGCTGCAGAATGCCGGCGTGGATGCGGAGGATAATAATATCCTCTTCCCGGGGGAATTATTCGCTCTTAATAATATGTGCCGATGGAATCTGGTTCACCTCTTGCTGTGACATTAATGCCGGCGAATGGATCGCTGATGGCATGTTTCATCCCTGCTTCTTCTGATGTATGAACCGCCCCAGAGGGCCGGTCTCTCCAGCATTAAGGCGCCGGGGTCTCCGATGGCTGAACCGCCTGACTCCCGGTTGCAGCTCAGGAAATATTCTTCTTTGCATAATACACATTTCCCAGTGGTCTCCCAAAGGGGCATTTCTGCAGACGATGAATGGACAGCATTTCTGTGATCGTTTTCATTGGGCTGCTGTTAGCCTGTTTACATATATTTATTTAGCTGTCGCTTCTCTCCAAAGCGCTGTCCGTGGTCTTCAGGAGCTATATAGGAGCCTTATTGTACTGTTGTGATCTGGTGCAATGTTTTTTTTTCTACTTCTTCTCAGGATTTGGAGAGAACATCCACTGGAGAACGCTGGAGGACGGGAAGAAGGAGGCCGAGGCCAGGTACTGCAGCCCAGCTGGGTGCCTGTCCATATGCTTTTCTGATCACTGCTCTTCTGTTCTCCCGAAATCCTTCAGTTTCCTCTGGTCACTTTGCTGGTCACCAGGAGAGATATTTAGCCAGTTCTGCACCCCAGAGTGGTCAGCTGCTGCTGCCTCTGCCCCCTCTGATTCATGTCTGTCTGCTCTGTTCACATAGTGGTCTGCCAGTGATGGTCATTATCCACAAGACGTGGTGTGGAGCCTGCAAAGGTGAGGTCAACACCAGGACAGACTTTCACCTAAACCCTGCCTGTTTGACTGCTGGTCTGGTTGCCTCACTGTGTGACTAACACCAAATAAAGAAGTTTTATCGCCATATAAGACTGGATAATTAAATGCATGTTCTTACACTGCAGCTGAGGGACGAATGGGTCTGGTTAGGGTTAGGGTTTCCTCTTCCAGCCCCTGGAGGACGGACTCCCACTTTGGGTCTGGATAGGGTTAGGGCTTCCTCTGCCGGCCCCTGCAGGTTGGGCTCCCCCTCTGAGTCTGGTTCCTCCCAAGGTTTTTTCCTTCTAGGGAGTTTTTCCTTGCCACTGTCACCTCTGGCTGGTCACTGGGTGCTTTGGGCAGGGGTAATATAAAGGGCTTTGAGACAGTGTAGTATTGTGAAAATGCACTATACAAATATATTTGAATTGAATTGAAAAAATGATCCTAAGCCGGAAACGGGTGGTTTGCCCTCTTTGGGTTGGGGAAGACGTACTGCCTCAAGTGGAGGAGTTTAAGTATCTCGGGGTCTTGTTCACGAGTGAGGGTAGGCAAGATCGGGAGCTGGATAGACGAATCGGAGCAGCGTCTACAGTTTTGCAGGCGCTTAACCGGTCCGTCGTGGCTAAGAAAGAACTGAGCCAAAAAGCCAAGCTCTCGATCTATTGGTCCATCTTTGTCCCTACCCTCACCTATGGTCATGAGCTATGGGTAATGACCGAAAGAACGAGATCGTGAATACAAGCGGCCGAAATGAGGTTTCTCCGCAGGGTGTCTGGGCTCTCCCTTAGGGATAGGGTGAGAAGTTCGGATATCCGGGAGGGCCTCAGAGTAGAACCGCTGCTTCTTCACGTCGAAAGGAGCCAGTTGAGGTGGTTTGGACATCTGGTGCGGATGCCTCCTGGGCGGCTACCCGGAGAGGTTTTCCATGCATGTCCTACAGGGAGGAGGCCCCTGGGCAGACCCAGGACTCGCTGGAGGGATTATATCTCCCGGCTGGCCTGGGAACGCCTCGGTGTCCCCACCAAGGAGCTGGTGGAGGTAGCTGGGGAGAGGGAGGTCTGGGTGCCTCTCCTGAAGCTGCTGCCCCCGCGACCCGAACCCCGGACAAGCGGCAGATGATGGATGGATGGATGGATGGATGGATGAAAAAATGACGACCAGTTTTTAGTGTTTGACTTATTGTAAAGTCTCTCTTTAGTTATTTATTTGACTTTTCTCTTGAAGCCCTGAAACCCAAGTTCGCTGAATCCAAAGAAATCTCTGAGCTGTCGCACAACTTCATCATGGTCAACTTGGTGGTGAGTCATCTCCCCCCACTGGATAACACTATTCTGCAGACCCACTAGATCAGGGTTTCTCAACCCGGTCCTCGGGGACCACCAGCCGGTCCATGTTTTTGCTCTCTCCCAATTCCCTGCCAATTGGGAGAGAGCAAAAACGTGGACCGTCTGGTGGTCCCCGAGGACTGGGTTGAGAAACCTTGCACTAGATGGTGCGACTTTTCATTCATGTTGTGATCTTTGGCTGTGGCGTTTCCCAGCCATCCCTTAAAGAGTTAATGAGCACCATTTTTATTTAGAAATATTTGTCTATAGGATGATGAGGAGCCAAAGGACGAAGTGTTCAGCCCTGATGGTGGCTACATTCCCAGAATCCTTTTCCTCGGTAAGCAGAAGCGCAGGCCGTGTGCAGGGCTGACCAGTAATAAATGTTCACCTGCCGAGTCTGTTTTGCTGGTGCCCTCTGGCCCTCAGAGTACGGGGAAGATGTGACTGATGCATGAGCAGAAACGATCCTTTATGGACTGTCACTGTTATGTCATGGTATTTAATCCTGAGGTCGCAAAACTAATAACACTCTGTGTCGTGCTGAAACGGTGATGTGCATGAGAGAATGATGGAGATTAAACGGACGATGTGCATATGCTGATTTTTGGTGGCGGTGGTGTTACCTTCCAGTGTTTTGAGTCAAACATTGACCGGCGACCTCAGCTTTCATCCCACTGGTGCCAGTGACGGATGGGAAAACATCCAGACGGCCCCTTAAACTTAAGCTATGCTTTATTTTCCCAGATCCCAGTGGGAAGGTGCGCCCTGAAATCACCAACAAAAATGGGAATCCTAACTATAAATATTTCTACAGCAATGCTGATCAAGGTAGGAGCACATTTGGTGATGCAGAATGGAGCAGTGACCGAATGATGACTGACGATGTGTTATTTCAGATGCCAGCTGGGGGTATTAAAGTGCAGTGTGCTGCGGTGTTCAGTGGAGTAAATCGCGGCCGTGTTTCCTGATCGGCATGTCTCTCTTTCTCACAGTCGTGGCTGGAATGAAGGAGGCTCAGGAGAAGCTGACCGGCGATGCCTATCGGCGCTCCCACCTTGGCGATGAGCTGTGAAGTTGTGGAGGGTGGAGCTGGGGAGGGCTGGCCACGCCCCCTCTGAACCGCTGCAGTAGCTGTGGTCCGCTCCCATATCCACTGCCCATTGGATACGTTCATTATGACTGTCTGGAGGGGAGGGAGGGGCTCCCCCCTGCCGAGGCGTGTCAGACAAGCACATACTAAAGTCAGGAAAAAGTGGAAATAAATGCACTGCTTTTCTGAATGTCCACATGTCAGTGCTGATGTTGGGGAAGCCGCTTCTGCAGTGTGTTCGGTACACAGGGGGTGACATTTCTGTGCTCAGTAGCAGGTTTTAATCAATCTGAAGGCTATGGCCATTTCTCCCCTCTTCGTTCACTAGCATATTTAATTGTTTTTGTCTCCTTTTAAATGCCAGGGCAGTATGTACACCCCTTTTCAGAGGACAAAACCAACTCCACATGCAGCTGATTTGTACAGGATTTGAAAACGCATGACATGACGTGTGTGTGTGTGTGTGTGTGTGTGTGTGTGTGTGTGTCGTACGCCGTGTGTCCAGCTGCTTACACCTTTCCTTCTGAACAGCTCCAGGCTTCATACCAGGGGTCCTGCCATTTCAGCTCCAATCAGGATAATTGGGATTTTACTCTGTCAGGGCTCTCCAAGTCCGGTCCGGAACAGCTACAATCCAGTAGGTTTTCTATCCTACCTGGCTTTTGATGAGCCACACCTGTTCTCATGTAAATACCAGGAAGAGGTGTGGGTCTTCAGAAGCCAGATAAGATAGAAAACCTACTGGACTCTAGCTCTCCTGGACCGGACTTGGAGACCTCTGCTCTAAGGGACTGTAGGGTTTAACAAACTGGAATATCTGCTCTAAGGGACTGTAGGGTTTAACAAACTGGAATATCTGCTCTAAGGGACTGTAGGGTTTAACAAACTGGAATATCTGCTCTAA